GACCCGGGTTTTCATCTTAGTCTGGAACCTTCGCACGTAAGTGATGCGAGGAGGGGGTTATATTAACGGTTACGGTTAGTGCTAGGATCACGGTCACAGGCACTTGAAACGTTTCAATAAAATATAATGCTAAATAAATACGAAATCTAATAGTAATACTAGTACTACAAAATTCTTAATGTTTCTATACTCTCTTTCAGTTTCACCTATTATTGCCGACAGATTCCTGTCAATTCCGTGTAAATGCTCTATGCACACACACTAACGCCGCCATTGCTCACTGTGCACAGTGACTGTTAATATATATAGTAGTATAATTATAGTTAGTTACTTAAATTAACTTAAATTAACTTAAATTAACTTAAATTATAGTTAGTTACTATATATATTAGTGTAAGCGTGCAACAGTCGCGCCGCGAGAGCAGTGGCATCCGGCAGCGTACGTTGGACGTAGGATTTGGACGGAATTTACAGGAAACTGTTGGCAATAATAGGTGAAAGAGAGTAGGCCTATAGGCTATAGAAACATTCGTATTTAGTTAGCATTATATTTTATTGAAACGCTTCAAGTGCCTGTGATCACGGTTATAGTCAGGGTTACAGTTGGAGCTAGGATCATGGCAGAGGTAATGTCAAATTGTCATTTGTGATTATTAATCCCTGATAATAATGGTTATAGTAAGGGTTATCGTTAGAGCTAGGATCATGATTATAGTAAGGGTTAATTACGATTAGAGTTATAATTAGGGGTATATGCATGGTGAGGTTTACAGTTAGAGATGTGATTATAGGCTTATAGTATATTTATTTATAGTGATTTATTGAATTACTCAATTTGAGATTATTTACTCCTTATGTATTATGTATATATATATATATATATCAAGAGTCCATAATAGAGATTTATCTGTATAGATTAAATCTCTATTATGCACTCTTGATATATATACAATAGCAATTAATATACAATTTCGATAACTCCGCCAGTCTCCTGGATAACATGAAGCCAGTATTAGTTCAGTAGGGAGAAATATATAATTACAGGAGCTCGGGTATATCGGGTGTATTTCTCATAACTCCGATAATCCCGATAACATCCTCTAGAAGTCATTACTTCACGATACGTTTAGTATCGTATACGAATAGGATTGTATATTATATGGGACTTCACATCATACCTTAATTAGTCCTACCGGTGTAGCCCCTTCGCTTCCTTCGTTCCCCTTCCTACAGAGAGGGAACGCGGAAGGAAATACCCTCTGCTTCTGTAGCGGGAGCGAAGGGGCTTCATCTGTAGAGCTAATCGTACGCCGGCTATAGTAGGAGGAAGTTCGGCTTAGTTGTCGTTACAGGTGGGTTCGGGTTATCTCTACTCGCACTGTAGCGGGAGTGAATGGGTTACATCGGTGGAGCTAGGCTCGGGTTCGTATGATAGTGCGTATCGCACGTGTCATCTCAGGTCGGACTTTCCTGGCGCCGCGAACATGTGTTAGGAATTTCCCGCCACGCGACATAAAGCGTTTAATCTGCGATAATATCAAGAGCGTATAAAGAAGGTTCCTTCTTTATACGCTCTTGATAATATCAGGAGTAGATAATAGGGAACTACCTATTAACTAACCTAAGGAATAAGGTTAAATAGGGAACTCATAAATAGGGAACTAACCTAACACTCCCTATTATCTACTCCTGATAATATCAAGAGTGGATAATAGTGTCTCTATTATCCACTCTTGATAATATCAAACGATGTAATCATAGCGCGCGGCGGCAAAACGGAGCAGCTCGCAGGGAAAGCAGAAATGGCTGCTCTACACACACGCGCGCGCACACGCACGCACGCACACATACGCACACATACACACACACACACACACACACACACACACACACACACACATGCACTATTCGTTCGCCCGTCGCGTAGCTTCTGCGACCATTAGATAAGTGGCCGAGCGAAGGCGCTGACGTGCGCGAGAAATCGAAGTCGTGGGTCACCGTGCATCGCTGCCGTCGAGGCCCGTTTTCACGCTATTGCTCGCGAAACGACGCTATTTTCTCACGTAATCGCATATCGGGTGCCATACCATTACCTGGTTTCTAGACGGACCTCACGGCTGGCTTGGCGTTGATGGCCTCAGCCAACAATCGTGACGAATAGACAGTGTACTTGCGCGCTGCTAGTTTTTAACCCGAGAAAGGGTAATGCGCAACAGTTACTGCCTGATTAATAGCATTAGCGATTAGGAAAATTGCGGCTCTCTAGGAAAATTTCTGCGAAATACTGCTTCCCTCGGCATCTCTAACTGGGGCATCCAGTAAACTCCGCTTGTGCATGCGTTTTGGCTATTTTCAGTAAGTTCTCAGTTTCCAAGGGGGAATATCGGATTTGCGCAAAATATAGAGCATGAGGCGAAATTATGCATTCTTCTCTCTCTCTCTCTCTCTCTCTCTCTCTCTCTCTCTCTCTCTCTCTCTTTCTCTCTCTGTTTGTCTCTGT